ACTTTTCTAAGACATCTATGTAAACAGTTGTGTCGAGGAGTACTTTTCATCGCATGACCTCGTTTGTTTATTTTTTATAATATTGCTGATAAGTCATTGTTCAACCAAGAATATGTTAAATCAAAGTGGTTTAGAGTGATGACATATGGGTTTAGATAAACTCATATCTCATCACCAAAGAACTCGGCATAGTTCAACTGCAATGGATTTTCTCGTGAATTGTTCCAGGAACAACTATAGAGTACTGTTTCTAGCAGCTGAGAAAAATATCGGTTATTTACAAGGGGAAAAATCTCACTTCAATTGTGTGCACTTATGACTGAAGTGTCACTTGAAGTGACGAAGTGACACTCTAAAAGTGTGAGTCAATTTTAGAGCGAACGTAGTATTAACTTATATTCTGTGCTTTTTTGACTGTTTCTCACTTCTCTGCAGAAAATCGCGGTCCGAACTTTGAACGTTGTTTTAAGAAGAATTATACTTTGGTTAAAAACCAACAGTCGGAAATACCTACTATCGGCACCAAATTCAATGCACTCGGTTGTTTTTCGAATAAGTCTATAACGATAAAAGATACGACTAGCGATTTCCAACAATCGAAAGAAGACAGTTTAACCTATGTTTTCATAAGCAAAACCCTTTTCCGAAACCATTCGGAAGATTTTATAGGAGATCTTTGAAAAACCACTTCGGATCTCCAAAAACTGAGCTATCAATCTATCAGTTATTTTCCATAAATAGATAGTCCAAAGTGTCCTCTCCAAAATGCGAACTAAGCCAACTCTTAAGTTTTCGCGGTTCAGGCGTGGCAACGGATTTCCTGAGAGTCCCGGGATCAATATTTCTTTAGGTGTGGTAATTCCGAAAATAATGGAAACAGAGGTAATCAACCACGCTGAATCTCGTGGCAATATTTGTTTTTCAGAAAACTTATAACAACCTAGTGAAAACCTATATTAGGTGGAATAACTCATTTTTGCCCATTTTCGAGTATAATTAAAAATTCATAATCCAGTCAAGATCCATCCAAATTATGTCAGAATATCACGATGAACTCTGTTTTACCTGCTCAATACTATGCAGTTGAATATACGGCATTATTTGATTCATTCTCCTTAACATCAGGACCGGTATATCACCGTTTAGTGAATCTAGCATGAGACTTGTGATTCTTTTTGAAAATAAAAATTATAAATTTACTGTAAAATTTATCTCTTATCTTAACGATTCATCGATGATTTTAAACGATAATTCCGGCACGAAACGATTCTTGACGTGGCACCGCTTCGAATGAAATAAATTTTACCCATAGATATTGTCCTTTACACTTGATTCAGTAATCTAAGCTGAAATTCATGCCGGCTAATGTGACTAAAGAAAAGCGAAGATTAAGAGACCACAGATGCTCAAATCGGAACAGAATCTCACATCGTTATCAGATGCAACACCGAACAACGAAGAACTGATAAATAACACCAAAATATGCAAAAAATTTATTGAAAAAGTGGTCGAATTTTCGGAAACACTGGCAACTACACCGACGTTGTTGAATGATGCATTCGATGAAACTATAGTTTTTCTGCAAGATCCTGCTGTAATCGAAATTCGATGTAAGAATGGTATAAAAACAAAACAAAAGACGAAAATAGTCCCTCAGCAATTGTCATTCACAACAACGAGTAGTACTAATAAATTCTTTCGCACTAACCAGCGAAGACTTATACCATTGACAGTAGTTTCAAAAGAAGCGGAACAATATGCGCATACATTCGGTTTTCCCCCGATTCGAATAATACCATCCAACAATAATAACAGTCGCCAGAATGTTCGATTAAATGGAGATACTGTTACAGCATTCTTGAATCAATCGAAAATAAATGAAAAAGTTTCATTTCGTGTATCACGTTGGAGAATTAGTAGTGGAAACTTGTTGTTGTACGCCAGCGATCGAGATTCATTTGCTTGTTTATTTCACGAAAAAGTCTATCTTCATTTAATCGGTACCTGTTATTATCATATAGAACTTCCCAAAAGATTACCAGCACAAATGTCGCTACTGATATTGGGTGTACCGTCATACCCGAATGCAAATGATATTTGTACGGATGTTCAGTACTATTACCCGTCAGTGAACAATGTGCATTATCAACCTGCGTACAGATGAACAACATCGAAGAACGTACGTATAAATTTTTTCTCAGCAAGTGAATACCAGGAATGTAAAAGAAGAGGAAAAATTAAATTCGGTAATTCAGATTTGACTGTCAAAGAAGTTTTTTCGACGCCAAATGTTCTATTCTGCAACAAATGCAACAGTTTTGGACATTATCGACGGGATTGTAAAAGAAAAGATGAAATTTGTAAAGTGTGTAGTGAGAATGTTGTGCAAGGTAAAGAACATCAGTGTTCTGGTGAAATGTCCTGTCCCAACTGTTCTGGATCCCATATGTATTACGACAACCGTTGTCCGGCACTGATTGAGTATCGAAAAGCGTTGGTGTTTCATTTAATTGAAAAAAATCTCCTACCTAATCAATGTCAAATTCCACGAGTTTTTCGATCGAGAATGAATCAAGTACAATCAGTAGTCCAATCTGTATCTGCTGTTAAAAATTTGCCCACATTTCAAGCAAATAATAACACAAATTCCAACCCATCTGCTCCTAGAAGCCAGTACACATCTGCTCTACCAGGTGCTGTTCCTCCCATGAATTATGCTTCTGCAACAAGTAATTTTGCGCTTTTGCCATTACCTCTTGCTGCTGCTCCTGCTGTTCGTTCAGTTTCATCCAATTTTGTTTCACCTGACTCTTTTAATATGTTATTGCAAAAACTAAACAATTTACACATAGAAAATAGTAAACTACTAGTATCAATTAGTCAACAAATAAAAACAATGAATATGTCGGGCCAATGTGTAGAAAGGAAACTGGATCAAATAACACAAGTAGTAAACAGTATTATTATAAGTAGGCATGCAACAGTACCAGTTCTTTACTGGTAAACTGGTACTGTTTAACTCGTTCTTACCGGTACCTGTTCCTTAACGGTTCACCAGTTCACGGTACCGGTTCCT